GTTTGTGTTTCTTAGGAATATTGAAAATAACCGTTTCACCGGCTGGATTCCAGAGCAGTTGAAAAACATTAATCTGGAGTAAGCATTCTATAATGAGCTACTGTTGTTTCCAATCTGGGGAGAATATGTTTACAATATGGTTCTAAGAAATCTCTTTACAGGAAGGATGGAAACATGTGGAACTCAGGTCCTGCACCCCCACCCCCACCTGGTACACCTCCAGCCAAGCACAACGGAAATCACAAGTCTGGCGGCGACAACTCATCATCAAATGGTGGGTCAGGTGGCAAGAAATCAGGAATAGGGGGTGGTGCCATAGCAGGAATAGTGATATCTCTTCTTGTAGTTACAGCGATTGTAGCATTCTTTCTCATAAAGAAAAGGTCAAAGAAGTCATCTTCAGATGTGGAAAAGTTTGAAAGTCGGCCCTTTGCTCCCCTTGCAAGTGAAGTGCAAGGTACCGACAATTTGTATACATTTTACATTCAGTTGAGCATTATCTGAAATTACCTTGTCATTTCCATTGGTTTGCTTTTCATGCTATTCGGTTTGACTTCCCTAGACTGAATATGACTATATTTTCTGCAATATTCCTGCCAGTTTTTTGTGTGATACTGGTTTCTTTGTTTATCAGTTGGATTGAGTTTATTAGTTGATTTCGCAAATCATTGAATTGAAATTAAAAGATCAAGATCTATAGCGTTATAAAATAAAAAGTATTCTAAATGGCGAGGAATTGCTCAAATTTGCAGTTTACTGAATAAATGTCTCTTGATGTCTGTAGATTTGGTTTATTCACTATTTTTTTTTTCTTTCTGTTTCTCAAATTTATTTTAGAAAATTATGTTCCTTGCCTGAGGCCAACTGATGCCATTTTGAAATTAGTTATGCAAATAGGATACATTAACATTTCAATTATGTTTGTTCAGATTCTAGAAGTTTTTTGTTGAACCAATGTTAACTGCTTTGTCTCCGGCACTCCAATGCAGAAATGAAGTCTGTACAAACCCCTGCCCCGTTGGACTTCAAGACCTTTGATACTCCTGCCACAATAAATCTTAGACCCCCACCAGTTGATCGCAATAAATCATTTGATGACGATGAATTCACTAAGAAACCCATTGTTGTCAAGAAAACCATCACAGCTCCTTTAAATGTGACCTCATATTCAATAGCAGACCTGCAGATGGCTACTGGCAGCTTTAGCATTGACAACCTTCTTGGTGAGGGGTCTTTTGGACGTGTTTATCGGGCTCAATTTGATGATGGGAAGGTATACTGTTTACCTAATAAATCTATATGCCATGCCATTGATGTTGGAAAGGTTTAATCTCTTTAAATCCAGTGACATGTCCCTTTTCATTGATGTCAAAGGATTAGTGCTTTTTCTTCTTCATATCCTGCCTGAAGATGACTGACTTGCTTGTTTACTTTCATATTAATTCGATCATTTAATTGATTTTTCAGTTGAAATCTTCTGTTCTCTCTCTCTCTCTCTCTCATGCACGGGCTATGGATACCCTTGCACACACACACACACACAGAGTGAATACTCTGGAGAACCAGTATGAAATCCTGCATGCATATATGGTTGGTTAAGCATTTGTTAGTTTTTAATTTATTATTGTTATATTTATTTGTCAAATGCTTCAATTCCATTGTTCCAAAGACTGAAGACAGTATAATAATTTGTTACTTACTTTTAACAATGTTAATAGGTTCTTGCTGTGAAGAAATTAGATTCATCTGTCCTTCCTAGTGAGTTGTCCGAAGAATTCACCGAGATTGTTTCAAGCATCTCCCAGTTGCATCACCCAAATGTAACAGAGCTGGTGGGTTATTGTTCAGAGCATGGACAGCACCTGCTAGTCTATGAATTCCATAAAAATGGTTCGCTGCATGACTTCCTGCACCTATCAGATGAATACAACAAGCCATTGACATGGAACTCTCGTGTCAAGATTGCTTTGGGGACTGCACGTGCATTAGAGTAAGTTTCTTAGTGGACGTCCATCCTTTGGCTTACAAATTTGAGCTTGCAATCATTTTGATACCTCGACGACTGGACAAATGTGCCGCGGGTACTCACAATGCTTTCTTTTAGGTACTTGCATGAAGTTTGTTCACCATCTATTATTCACAAAAATATAAAGTCAACCAACATATTATTGGATGTGGAGCTCAACCCTCATCTTTCAGGACGCTGGCCTTGCAAGCTCTATCCCCAATGCTGATCAGGTTAAATTTGGGATATCATACTTTGAACTTTTATATCTTTTTCATATCCATACAACATGAACTGATAACTCCATTATCTGAAATTGTGTCCTAGCTGAATAGCTGTATTTATACGTGGATGATTATAATTACCAGGATTTATGAAAACCCAGAACTCATATGCACCAGTCTCAGAATCAGACATAATGAGTTGGAATAGACTATCGTAGTCAAATTTCTATTGTCTTATGATTGTAAACGATAATAAGGTTCTATATGTCTTAACATTTACATAAATGGACCTAGAGAAATAAGGTAGGAGCAGACTTTAGAACGCTTACAAGGGTACTTCCTGTTCAGATCTCCTGTAATCGTGGAACACATTCCATGACCCAAGAGCATCTGTACTTGTTAGGAAGAAAAAATTATTGTGTGAAACCCCTTGGTTAAACGACCATTTCATGCCCCCAAAAGTGCTGAGACTTCATTGACTCAAGTGTTACCCATTTATGATTGTCGGAAAATTATACGACTGGATGGGTGTTCTTGTTTAAGTGGTAGCAGAACGCGTGCATACTTGTTGCATCAGTCAAATTGATCATTATTTTTCTGGGAAAGTGCTGATGGTTTAAGTTTCACATGTGCAGGCATTGGACCATAATGCAGGATCTGGGTACAGCGCACCAGAGGTTGCCATGTCTGGCCAATATACTCTAAAGAGTGACGTCTATGGTTTTGGAGTGGTTATGCTGGAGCTTCTTAGTGGGCGGAAAGCATTTGATAAGTAAATAATTACATAAATTAGTCTGACTATTATATTTATGTTATTACCATTTAAAAAGATTGGTGAAATTAATTGTATGAAAATTCCTTGACAGCTCGAAGCCTAGGTCTGAACAATCTCTGGTTCGATGGGCAACACCCCAGCTCCATGATATCGATGCCCTTTCGAAAATGGTAGATCCAGAACTCAAGGGGCTCTATCCAGTTAAATCTCTGTCACGGTTTGCTGATGTGATAGCGCTCTGTGTCCAGGTAAGTTTACACTAAACTGAACTACTCGTTAGGGGATGAAAGACGACTGTTACCTAGTTTCTAGTTGAAATATAGGATGTGGGGTTCATGTTTTGCAATTCCATAAGAATGCACTGAGGTGAAAATCTGACCCTTGAGCTCCACATTTTGGTGCAGCCGGAGCCTGAGTTTCGACCTCCCATGTCAGAAGTGGTTCAGGCATTGGTTCGGCTAGTGCAGCGAGCCAACATGAGCAGGAGAACAGTTGGAAATGATCAAGGATCGTCCCATGGAGGTGGTAATGCCGATGCACAGGACGACCTGTCTTGAGTAAAGCTTGAGGTGACAATGCTGATGACACACACGGGGACACACCTCAAGAAAACCACGTACATTTTGAGTACATTTGCCCTGGCTACACCACATGCTACCGAGCGGTAGTATACGCCTGTTAATATTTTTACGTAGTTGAGGTAGTTCTTTCGTTGCTGAATACTTTTCCAAATTGAACTGGGTGAATTTGGAGCTTGTTTCAAATGAGTTATTTAAGTCACCTTATGTATACATTAAAACGCAGTGCATGTACGGTGCAGCTATCAGTGATCAGTTTGCAGTGCAGAAACTATGGACCTCTTCACGCACTTGATTTCTCTTGTAGCTCTACAATATTTAAGTAAATAAATTAAAACTTAAAATTCATTTTTTCATTCGGTCGCGTTCGGTGGCCACGAAATTCAAGGTACGTTGAAGGAATAAATAGATGTCGAGTTTAGCAATTTTGTCGAAGTTGAATGTAGAAGATAGATTGGTTGTAAAGATTAATTGAAGGGAAAAAAATATTTCTGACTAATTCATCAAATTTCTTCAATTTGAACAAATTTAGTAGATTTTTCATTGCTTTAAACGTTGTTGAATGTAGGTTAATATATTAATGTCGTTTATAATACATTTATCGAAGTGGTGGATTTGCCGGTGAATAGAGTTTTGCTTTTCAACCTATTGCGTTTCGGTTTCAAATTCTTCTTCCTTCCTGTTTGTTTAGTTTAGAGTAGTAATAATTGTTTACAAATAAATAAAAGAACCATTCAAATAATTTTCGAAAAAAAAGAGCAAGTCAAGTCAGCTCCTGCATTTTGTGCCAAATTCGACGAAGAAGAAATGATGAACAGTTAATTGCTGGTGAGCTACAGCCGGGGCAGAGACACCATTGTTGGTATTTGGTGAGTCCCTTCTCGCTCCCTACAAGTTGTGCATTTGCGAATGATCCTATTCTTCTGTTTCAAGTTCTGCATTTGCTCTTAAAGATTGCAATTTCTGCTTAGGATTTGTGTCGATTCAGTCCCTTCTCCGAAAACTCGCCTCTCTCCGTGTCCAAGGGGGTGCAGTTTGACACCCGAGGAGTGCCAGGCTTGCTCCCAGCACCTCACTTCCGAGAGCTCTTCAACTTCCACAACGTGCAATATCTATTATCTAAGATCCCTCACTAAAGGGGCAACAGAGACTTCAAATTAAAAAGATCCCTAACTCCGAACGAGAAACCCTAGACCCTTGTCCCGGCCATTGAAGCACGTGTTTTGCCCGGGGCATAAGGGACGCGGTGGCTTTACGCCATCCTCACCTTCCTCCGGCATACCATCTGCATTCTGCTGAGAGTTCCAAAACTCTAACTGATATAGCCTACGAGGATTCTATTGCAGTTACCAAATATACCTCAAAAACAAACCAAACTGGGTCATTATAATTGGCATAAGCTGCTTCAACACAATAAATGTAAACATCCACCATCACCACTACTTGGAATAACTGCAAATGTAGCTGTCTAGCAATTGGAGTGGCAAGAAAAACAAGTGTATAAAGCAATCGGATCGTTTTTCCGATGGAGCAGATCCAAGTTCAGAACCACCAGCTTAGCGAACAATAAATTTTACGAGATTGGTTTATAAAACAGGAAAGATACCAAGTTTAAACAACAGACGTGAAAGTCGCCAAGGTGACCCTAAAAAGGAACACTGCATATCCTCCTCCCTCCATTAGAGAATGCATCGCTTCTTGATGGGTTCTGCAAACACGATACACTATCTCCTCTGCTCAATTGTAAACCATGTATTTTGGTGTCGCACTGAACTTCTGATACCCCTTTATGACTTTGTTGACTGCGTCGAGGAAGTCCTTCTCTGTTGCTGTCTTCCTTCGAGCTCTTATGGCATACATCCCAGCTTCCGTGCACACACTCCTAATATCAGCTCCTGTGAAAGAGAACCATGTCACAAAATTGAAGTCCAGTAATACAAAGTCATGATAAGAGGCATGTAGCAGGTCAGATCACAAACAGGTAGACCATAGGAGCACAATCAAACATAGCAATGAAGATGCAAATCACAACATTCTCACCTTAGGTTACCGTAATAAAGCTGAGGATGCAAATGATAGCAACATCAGATCAAACTAACAATAAGAATCAGGAGGACGACTAGGTAACAATGGCAATTTGCTTATCAGTGGTACAGAAAGCATCCTTACCCGTTGAATTTGGGCATAGACGAGCCAACAGTTCGAACCGAATGTCCCTTTCACAATTCATCGTTCTTGTATGGATCTTGAAGATCTGCGTCCTACTCTCCAAGTCAGGGAGGCCGAACTCGACCTTCCTATCCAACCGTCCTGGCCGCAGTAGCGCTGGGTCCAGTGTGTCAGGCCTGAAAAAAAGATCCAATAAAGCCCATGAGGTGTTAATATAATAAAAAAGAAACCAAATATAGACCGCTTAAACTGCAAAACAAATACACGAACAAACCTGTTTGTCGCCATCAAGACTTTAATGTTCCCACGAGCATCGAAGCCATCCAACTGATTCACAATTTCCAGCATAGTCCGCTGAACTTCATTATCTCCACCCACACCATCGTCAAACCTCGCTCCTCCAATCGCATCTACTTCATCAAAAAAGACAATACAGGCCTTCTTTGAGCGTGCCATCTAAAAACAAAACAGACATGGTTAGAAGATAGAGTAACAGAAAAACAGTACTCCAAATAAGGCTTTCTAGCCAAAATGGTCCCTAAAATTTGTTGAACTCTTCATTTTGGTCCTTGAGATTTGAAATCAATAGAAGTGGTCCCTGAGATTATCCACCATCAATCATTTTGGTGAATAATTATGTTAAATAAGGATCAACGTGACAAAATTACCCTCAATATAATAAACAATAGGCTAAAACAATTTTGAAAAAAATTGAGGGTATTTCTGTTGTTTTATCCTTATTTTATGGAAATTTTTCACAGAATGACCAAAATAATTGATTATGGACAAACTCAAGGACCAATTCTATTGATTTCAAATCTCAGGTACCACAATGAGGAGTTATGCAAATCTCAAGGACCATTTTGGCTAAAAAGCCCTCCAAATAATTCCAAGTTAAATCAATATGGGTAAACCATGCAATTATTTCTAACCTGGAACAGCTCTCTGACCATCCGAGCCCCCTCACCAACGTATTTTTGAACAAGCTCACTCCCAATCACACGAATGAAGCAAGCATCAGTTCTATTCGCAACAGCCCTGGCCAGAAGAGTTTTGCCAGTTCCTGGAGGACCATAACAGAGGACGCCCTTAGGCGGATCGATCCCAAGCTTCACAAATTTCTCGGGGTGAAGCATAGGCAGCTCAACAACCTAAGACAAATGATCAAGTATATATGCACACTGTTAAGTTTATCCTAATACCAAAACGGTAGATATTCATACATACCATAGGAGACAAATGAACAGCGTAAAGAGAAATGGTTAAATCTATACGTACTTCTCGCATCTTTTCAATCTGCTCCTTACATCCACCCACATCATTATATGTCACATCTGGCTTCTCTTCCACAGTCATCATGGTCACACTTGGATCAATTTTTGGAGGCAAAGGAATCTGAATTTGATACTTGTTCCTATCAACCCTGCAGTGACAAACAAAAGGTTAACTAGAAAGACACTAAATTGTAAACACACACAAGCCTCCAACAATAATCACTAAAAACTTGCTAAAGACATGAGCACGTGATAAAACACAGCACTAATTGCAATCCTAAGAGACTTAACATATTCATCACTGCAAACCAATGTTTTAAAAGGCTCGCCTCAGGGCACGCCTAGGCGTCCTCTGAGGCTGGGCGTGAGGGTTGCCGCCTCTGTTTTGAGGGAGTGGGCAGAAGGCTTTGCCGGAGCCACCTAGGCACGCCTCATGGGTGATTTTGGGTAGGGTTTTAACTGCCTCATACCTCTTCCTTGCACTATCGTCTCTTTGCTTTTTTTTCTGATTTTATATAATGGATGTGTGTGCTGTCTGCATGCATTGTTATATGTGTGCTCATTGAACTTTTCATCCTCTATTATATATATATATAATATAATATAATATAATATAATACATGTATATATATGTGTGTGTATATATTTATAATACATGTGTGTGCTCAGGATGATTATTGATTAATAATCTTTTTTTTTTTTTAATATAATATATGTGTATGCTCAATGTATATATTAAAAAATTTAGGTCCTGTGAGGCCTCGGACGCCTCGCCCACTCCTCACGCTTTTAATACATTGCTGCAAACACAAATATGGAATACAATAGCACAACATAATAAAACATGGTGCTGCAAAGAGCTGAGATGCGAGCATGCACAATTGTAAACACACAAATTTGATAATGTTCCTATCAAACTCTGCAGTGGCCAACTAATGGATAACCAGAAAGACACTACAATTGTAAACATACACAAGCCTCCAAATATACTATAATCTTGCTAAAGACATGAGCACGTGATTAAACACAGCACTAATTGCAATCCTAAGAGAACTAACATATCCATCACTGCAAACACAAATATGGAATGCTATAGCATAATATAATTAAACAAGGTGACAAGCAAATAGCTGATATGCAATTATGCAATGAAGGTCCAAATCTGCATCACTGTAATAAATTACTATCCCCATTTCTTAAAAACTTCACTACTGCAGAAAATTCTTTTAAGATGTTTTTGGTGGTGCGTGGCTTACCAACTATTATCAAGCATAACATTACGTACTGCATCCTAAACCAGCGATGCTCATGGAAATAATCCAATAAGAGTTAACAAAAATGGAAATCTATCAGAGTTCAAAAAATAGGAGGGCCTACCCCACACGCATGCCTTCTTCTATATCCGTTGGGGAAACCTTGTCACCCAGACCCACAACAAACTGCAATGAAATTATCCAAAGCATTAAGAATGGAACAAGAAAATCAACAGATCAAAGATTGAAAAACGGAGCAAAAGTAAAAACAAATAGCTGTATGAAAAAAATTGATGAAAAAAGAGGCTAGACCTTTGCAATTTGTTTGACATTAATGACATATTTAGCATCCTCGGAATTGGGATTGATAATCTTCGTACATCTAGCCACCTGGTTTCAAGAAATCAATCAAAACCTATCACATTATAACACAAATCAATGAGTGTATAGTTGCGCGTGTAACCAAACTGAACCGAACCTGAAGAGGCTGTTCCTCCTGCATCATCTGCTTGTCCGAAACGAGATCATACTGACTGGGTGCAGCTAACCCAGTATCGGATTCCTTAATACCTGTATAAGCAATCAAATTTAACCCAACCCATCCACAAAGCTAACAACCCACAACAACAACTTTCGAAATTGGGGTCACACATCGAGCAAAGAAGCTACATACCGCGCAAATCATTGACCTTTTTAGCCAGATCCTTTACTTCTTTCTCTGCTTGTTTAATATGCTTTGAATACGGTCCTAACCCCTGCATATTCCATTATATCCCCACAACCATTATTCACTAAATCAATAAAAAAAAAAATTTAGGGTTTTGGGTGAATATGAAATCGGTGGTGGGATTTAGGGTTTGTGGAAAAAGAATTCAGTTGAAGAACTCACATAGGTCTTCATGATGACGATGTCATCCTCGTCGAGGGGTCTAGGGTTCTTCTCATCCTTGATGTCTTCTGGTTCTGGCGCCATCGGGGAGTTTAGACAGAGAAAGTAGAGAGAGGAGTAGAAGTTGGGATTTGGGACTGTGCTCTGGTAAAATACATATAGAGGCTGGTCTATGTATAAAGCCAGAATTTGTACATTGCTCTTATTCCGTTTTCTTTTTTCTTTTTCTTTTTTTTTTTATTTATTTTGTTTTCCAGTACAATTTTTTTGTTAAGTTATCATTTTTTACCTGTTTGTCTTTGTTTTTTTTTAATATTTTGGATTTTGATTGTGAAGAAAATAAAAAGGCATTTTCGACCTTTTAGAAAACTTCATTTATTTAGACTTATCATTTTATTTACTTAGGTATCAACCCTTTATATAAAGGAATCTTCATTTTTTGAAAAAATAACAATTAGGTATCGGGTTCACAATTTCAAAGATATAAACAATGCATTTTGTAAGTCTCGATTAAGTTATGATCTTTTACCGTCCATTCAACACTGTTACGAGGAAAATGCCCCGTTTGGATCGCATACTCCACCATCTTCTCGAACTCTCTCTCGCAGCTCCTCCGTTGTTCCCCGTTTGGCTGGCTTTCAGAAACTAAAGCACCGCTGCCATTCTTCTTGCTCAAAAACAAGAGATCACAATTCCATATTTCTTTCCGCCAGCTTTCGAGCTTTGCATTCACGAAATCCGTTTCGGAGTGCCCCATTCCTAAGTATTGTTTTAAACTCCCACAATACAATAACAACAACAAAATCTTATCGCGCTAAGGAGGATCGATGGTTTAAACTCACAATAAGTAAACAAAAGCCTCTTATTTCGGATTTCAAATTTTATACCAGAAAAAATGATTGACATTATATAAGACCAGTAAAACAATCATAGCCAAGATTTCCATCCTCAAAATTCAAAATTTACTCGGACTTGGGCCAAATGTTCAACAAATGTTGAAAGAAAACGATGAAACTACTTTCTCCAATAGAATGTGAGTTGCATTTCATATGGAAAACAAAAGCAACAACGTAACTACGTCGAGCCCCTGTACTTTAAAACATCATTCGTGTTCAAATCGAAGGTTTTGCAGATATCTAATATCGCACATTCTTTGAGACCCTCACGCTCGCCTCCATAACGAAGAAGTTCCTCAAGCGCTTTCGATGGCTGCAAAACCTATTTTCATTGAGGAACCAAACAAGAAATTAGTAAAATGGCAGAAAACTGAATGCCAGTATGTTTGACAGGGATCAATGTGCGTGATATTAGATATTATATGCATTTGCAAAAATGGTGTGTTTGTGTGTGTAAAAGCAAAGGTTGCATCTGCCTCCGGGACCGGGAGAGTCTGAACATGCGTATCCTCACATTTGACATACCAAGTGTCAATTAGATCTCGTACGGACAGGGTACCCAAAACTTACAAGTAATGGTTTGACAGCATTTTGTGATTAAACCAGTAAAACTTACTAGACTCGTACAACTAATCAAAAACCGGAAGATGGCTCAAGTTGTCATCCACAACAAAAGTAGGTTACAGAAGACGAAACCCTAAAAAGTTTCAATTGTGCAAACGTGATAAACGCTCTTGGAAATTAGGTTTATCCAACACAAACAACTACTTACTTAAACGGATGCAGTAAAACAAAGAAAATTGCAATAATATATTCCAGTACGGAATTCTTTTAGGACTGCTGTCACAGACCATTGAAAATCAATCCCGTTGTCTCTAATTGCAGAACATCATAAAATAACTTACGTAAGGAGAATCGAATATCTCTTTGCTTCCATGCTGACAGTCAATATGCTCATTTTCATTTCCATCAGTAGTGGAACTTGGTGTCACAGAGCTATCTGAGACTAGCTGAAGGAGTTTCTCGCTTCCCTAAAACATCAACATAAACAAAAACAATAAAGAACATTAACATATCGCATATTGAAATATTAGCAAATACATAATGGAACAACCAGGACATAAGTGGTAGATACAAATTTCTTCCGCTGAGTGTTAACTCGTTTGCTAATTTATTTTACATAAGAAATCAGACTACAAATAGTTTCATCTTTGAAAACACTGTATGGAACGAACCTTGAGGGCTCGCCAATGAGAATAAGTACGGAATAAACACCAGAAGAAGGGAATATTAGGCAAAGGCAAAACCTGCATAGAATTCAAATAAATCAAGAATGTGAATTTTGTTGATCTGGCAAAAGGAAATGTATATTGAGAAGTGCAAAAGAATTAAAGGATCCACATATTGAACAAATTCAGAGTAAAATCAGAGTTGAAAACTAGAGTTAACATATACGTACAGTAAATGCAGATGTCAGAGGAAGCAACGTAACTGAACCATATAAATACTTTTTGTGTATGACAGATCCCCTGATAATCAGATAAAACTTCATATCAGTAAAGTTTGATCTCATAACAAGCACCAAATGTACCACAACATAAAGGAGCTTTAGGTGACTATGTTCCGTAAGGTTTATCATTCAACACAAATTTCATATTACTCGCTCAATGTTACATCATGCAAAGAAACACAAACTTCTGTTTCTTCAAAATCTAGGCAAGAGAATACCTCATGGCAATATGCCGTAGCCTCCTACGCACAAGTCGTGCATTTAAGCTGCAAAACCCTAACATATGATCAGCACACCAAAACTTAAGAATATCACAGAAAGAAAAGTATAAATAAAACTAGAAGATCAAATGTTTATTCTTGTTCACACTTCCACATCCACCGAGAACAACATGTTTCAATTGAACATTACTTAGTGTGCATTGTCCAGACTCTCCAGAGTTGTGATTGGGAATAGGTTCTAAGTTGAAATGCTAAGTATTTATTCCCATAAGCCTATCTAATAGAGAAAGCACCGCATAACTTCTGTTAAGTCCTCTCTATCAACTTTACTTGAAACAAAATTTCAGACCATCGTGGGCTGTAGCATTTGCTGTTAAAATTAAATTGTTATCTTTCCAAATAGCAATGAATGAATAAACCGAGCTGTTCTATATATTTGACTACTGGTTTTGTTTTCTGTACAAATCCAACAGAAGTGGAGGAAGAAGTTAAAAACGATAGCCATTTTAAAAAGCACATTTGCAAGTGAAAGAAACAGGAGGAAACCTGGACGGGTATTTAACTTCAACACCTGTGACCTCAGTAGAGATCGATTTCAGGAAAATCTCAGACGGCTTAACACGAGCCAACAGCTTCAATCCCAATCTACACCATTAAAAAATTGCTCAAGTTAAAAACACAGGAACAACTTCGAGTGGTGATATGAAATGAAACCGCCAAAATGTGTTGAGTGAGTTTATGGTTTCATTTACCCATGAAGCTTGTTCTTAAAACTTCCCTGAGGCGACTTCTCCAGACCGATCCAAGCTCGGTTCATCTACTTGCAGAAAAAAAAAAAAACCATTACTTCCAAACAGATACAAGACAACCCAAGTCAAAAATAAAGCAGCAAGATTAACAATAGGAAAATAGGTTTTGCTATGGACCTTGGTAGAGACGAAATCGATGAGGAGCTCAGCGTTGGCAGCTAAAGGATTGGCAATGGCCTTGTCATTGGCATTGGACTTGTACTTTTTCCAGAGGTCTTTGAGAGTTGAAGGAGTTTGAGAGGCAGAGGCAGATGCAGAGTCTGAAACCAAAGGCTCAATGGATCTGCTGAAGCACCAGTTCCTCCCTTTTACCGGAAAAACTATCACTCTCGCTCTCATCCTTCCCAATTCCCACAAAGAATATGAACCCTAATTTTTATACAGATTTTGTTTTGGTGATCATTCAGCACACAAAAATTACCAACAAGAGTTTTTTTTTTTTCCTTAATTAACAATAAAAAAATTGAATCTTTGATTTGGGTTTTTGTTTTTGATTAAAATAAATCAATGGAATTGGTATATTCCAAGAAGGAGACGAAGAATCATTGAATCTTCATTTTCCACAGGTTTTTAATACTAAAATTAACCAAAATTTTGTTTCAATCACAGACTAAATCAACGGAGTGGAGGAACAGAAATACAAATATTTCAAATGAGATCGACAAATTAAATAAATATATTTGATGACGATGACACAATTCTGCAATGTAAGAGTTTTAGGATTGAAGGTTTTGAGAAAAAAACGAAAGGAAAAGCTAAACAACTAACCAGCTGGGAAGTGACGAACACCAAATACTGAGTCACGAGTTACGAGTCACGAGTCACGGAGAGTGAAGGAAAGAGTACGGACGGTACCGGGAAGAGGAGAAGAGGTGCCATGGCTGCGTGTGTGTTCGTGAAGTTTGTAGATTTTGTGATTGTGAGGGAGAAGCAAGTTGAAATTGAAGGTGACTCAGCTCTCCTCCGCCTCGTCTTTCCACGTGCGCTATAAACTGTGAAATCTCTAGTTGAAATTAACTTTTGAACTTCGTAAAAAAAAAGAAAAAAATTGTTATTAGCATTTTAAAAATCTAATTTTACGTTCTAAACTTTCTATATTAGAAAAGAAAAATATAATTATGAGAAGTATATAATGAGATTTTTGAAGTGTCAATAACACTTCCCAAAAAAAAAAAAAACCTTACTTTTGAATTATTTTTCAGATTAGCTTTTTAACCAAAATAGTTCTTAAAATTGGTATAACTCCTCACTTTGGTCTCTAAAATTTTAAATCAATAGAATTGGTTTCTGAGTTTTTCCACAATCAATCGTTTTGGTCATTTTATGAAAAATCTCCATAAAATAATAGTAAATGCTAATCATAGCCATATTCTTCATTGATTTATAACTTTTCTCGTCCTAAGTAAATATACATGTCATGCTTTTGTTTGCTTACCAAAGGTTGGAGCGGTGAGTGACGGATTTGGCTGGTGACTAAATTACCACCTCACTCCAATATCCCTGCTTTTATTTTCTTATCCAATTTGGCAGCTGCTTGGATTCCAATTCCAATTCCAAATTCTAATTCGAGTGTTCCAATTTTGTTTAATCTCAAATTGAACTGGCATCCATGATTTTGATACGAAACTGCTGCTATGTCATAATTAATCACATCTTTTTTGCTGTCACAAGTTTCTTTTAAGCCAAGTTAATGACGAAAATTCGACAAATTAGTCATTGCAGTGTGCCTGTTATACTCTGGAGAAATACCAACACTAGGACATAAATAAAAGTGGGTGTGTTTGACAACCCCCAACAGTTTCAAGCGTTTTTCGCATCAATGGACGGTTAGATCTAGACGAAACCATTGTACATGACGGTCCAAAGGATTCTACAGCACAATGTATGCAAATACAATGATGCATCGTAGAGTTTTTGCAGTTTCAACACTTTATACGCAAGCACCGTGTGCATACATCTACTCATTTATCATTGAGCAAAAAGAGAAAGAAAATGAGGTAGGCAAAACAAATCTCATTTTCTAAATGCAGATGCCGATATCATACACTAATATACATGTCAATTAATTTCAGGGTAAACCTACAACTAATCAGAAAGCATACGACGTACGCAGGTTTAACCACAAAGAATAACAACAATCATCAAACAATGAATATACTATTTCTTCATTCGTTCTCTGCTATAAAGTTCGGATCTTCACCTTGGCAGAGGTATTCATCACACAATGATGCTGATCCCCAATCCTTCCGGAGCCTCAAGATATCCTCCGTGAAGGTGGATCCAGATGCTCCAATGAAAACACTTGACATTGCACATATCGTCTTATCCAGCATAGCTTCTACCTGCAAAACATGATCAAAGGCATATAAGCTACATGGATCTTAAGCAGTGGCGATACACTGTATACTAACCGAATGCACCCTAATTCAACCATAGAATGTTAAAATGATAGCATAATCTACCTGAGCATCCCCCTCGATACCGTGTCTGTATAATAAAGCATCCCATTTTTCAGCTGAATTTCGTGCAGGCCGTTTAACAAGTGGTACAGTCTTTCCATTCACCACAACTAGTGACTGCAACAAACCAGTTTCACTTTCAGCCGCGTCTGTCGAAAGATATATGACTGCTGGATTTGCCCTTTGTGCCACCCGAGTGATGCAATCCGCAGCTTGGGGAATGGGGTAAAAGCAACTTGGCTGTTTATTATTGCTGGAAAATAAGGAAGGAATTTAGAGGCAATAAACAAATACATCCCAACAAAAAATTCTACTAGCGTGCACCCAATCTTTTAATGCCACAATTCACAAGACACAGATTATGAAAAGCACACCGTAATTGGACTATATACTAATGCATTGATATCACACTCTGAATTAACAAGTGACAACCAAAGCCCTCACATTGATCTCCCTAAAAAGACCAACTGTTTCAACGTTAAGTCCAGTAAAGTTGGGTAATTTATAGCCAATGGTTTTGCACTTTTGATGCCTAGAGATCACATCATTTAAAGTTGGAAGCATGTTCAGATTTATCCATTCCAGAAGAGTCTAGGAATGTTTATGCAATATCACAGCTACCTCTAAGTAAACCAAAATGCTCGATTATCTATGTACTCTAAGGCCTCGTTTGTTAGAGAGGATTGGCTTGAGTAGGACTATTCACTATATTAAAGTTATTTTAAAGGCACAAATTCCTTAGTTTGTCCAAGTTGAAAGTTAGTCATGAAGAATAGTTGTCCCTTTTAATCCTACCATTGGACACATAAGGAAGTTATCATCTATTTCTTCCTTTAAAATGCTTCCAATATGGTGAATAGTCCTACCAAAGCCAATCCTCTCTATCAAACGAGGCCTAAGTTTCTACTCTATCTACATTTATGGTTGAAAAACAATCAGGTGCAAGAGAATGTACCAGAACTTCAAAAACCCATGTCGCCGAAAATGAAGCGCTACAAAGTTCTTCCCAAGGAATGTCTGAATAAAACGCTGGGCAGTAAGCATTATTAGCCTACTCGGTTCGATCAGAGTCTTGCATTTGTGAGCAAGAGGACCTCCGGGCTGCATCACCCACTCCTGCTCCAAATCAGCAAAGAAAACATCCCCAATTGCAATAACATCATCATTGCTCGAAAATTTCGACTGAACATCTTGCACAGTCCTCTTGGTTGGCTTCTTCACGTCTTCAGCCCAAGCCGACTCGAGCTTATTCATCGAGACCCCAGCTCCCTTCAGCTTCTTCACATGCTCATTGTCAACATAGCAAGGCTTCGGATGCGCAAAATAGCAGATAAACTTATCAATATGGATGTGATTCTTCTTCTTCTCAGCGAATTCTTCAAATGTAACCACAACCGTTCTGCCCAAGCATTTGTTAATGTGCTCAATGTCCAGCACCCTGCTGAACTGGTAATCCACTTTGTGGCTGGGAATCACCAGGACCCGGTTCAGCAATGCGGCGAAGAACATGTGCTTCTCCAAGCAGATCAAATGGTTCGACATTTGACCGGAAACGCAAATGGCGAAAAGATACTTGTTGGAATTGGGTTTCCATTCAATTGTTCTTCTCTGGGAGAATTGTTGGTCCACAGCTCGACAGCGATCGCCGAGAGTCGGGTTTTCAAAATCTCCGAAATCCCGGAAATCCGGCTCCGTGGAGTTTCCGGTGCGGTGGGCAGATAGGAGGACTTGCTGGATGTCTCTGTTGATTGAAATCTGACGGAGGACGGCGGATTTGAGATCGTCAAGGAGCGGGATTTGGGCGGAATCGGAGTGATTGGAAGTGGAATTAGTAGAATTAGTGGGATTGGGGAGTGTTTGATTCCAGAGATTGAAGAGGCTTACCTGCTGCTGCTTAAGCAAGTAGAGGGCGCGGAGCTCGGACTCCCGGAGCTTACCGGAGGCGGAGTCATAGGGGGAGGAGGAGAAGTTTCCGGCGGTGAAGAGGAGGGCTTTTATGTCGGTAACGAAGAAGAGGATGATGACGAAGGTAGGGACGAAGATGGCGAGGACGACGAAGGATCGCTTGTTGAAGAGGTCGCCGAGCTTGAGGGACGAGAAGCGGCGTCGTAATTGGTGGTGGTTGTAGCTGCGATTGTTGCTGTTGCTGTCGATGTCGTCGTAGTCGTCGGCGATGTGGAAAGCGGCGGCGGCGGTGGATCGAGGCGTGGGGAGCTTTCTGTCGTTTTGGTCAATTAGGTTTTGGCGATCATCGTCGTCCTCGGACGACGAGGATAGTCTGTTCATTTTGGGAGGTGCTTTTGGCTTTTCGGGGAAGCGGCAATGTGGAATGTCTGTGGCGGTGTGACAGTTGGACTGGCGGTTGGAAAAAGCGCTTTCTTGTTGGTGTTTTGAGCTGTGTCTGTGAGACTATCGGATGAGGGAGGGACTGGGATGTGGGAGGAAATTGATGGAGTGAGTGAAACACGGAGGAGAGGGGGAAGCCGGAGGCCCAGTGGTGGAGGAATGTGGGGTGGAGCTGTCAATGGAGAGTGTCGGTAGACGAAAGTGACAACTTACCGGCCCACTAAGGAGGTTGATGTTGGTTTGTCTAAAGCCCATTCAACAAGCCCACTATTTGTGTGCGATTTGGTGGTAGTTTGGTAGGGGAATGTTTATTTGCAAAAAGAAATTGGTAGGAGAATATTTGAAATTACTTTTAAAAGAGGTTTAAAAAAAAAAAAAGAGCTAGAGATTTCAATGTAAAACTAATGCGTAATATGAGGAGTAACTGAAGCATGTCCAAGAAAGATAGTAATTGGGTCGCAAACTAAAGATAGTAATTTGTTATGTCATGTCCAAGAGGGTAACCTAATTACTAAATTAAAGAATTAAAAATAATTTTGTAAATATACAAGGTAAGTTGCTACTTTTTAAAATTAACAAATTGAGTTTTGCAATATATATCTTATTTGCTAGCAAAAAAAATATATATATATTATTCGAAATATATATCTTATTTGCTAGCAATATATATCTTATTGTTTAGTAAAGCGTTTAAAAATAAAATTTAGGCTTCAAAAGATAAGATGAAGTTAAAATATTAATAATATTTAAGCAAGTGGTCATTTATCATAGTTGTGGAAAAATGTTGAGTTCTTGCATAACAGCTTGGGTTCAAACTCAGTTAGTGACTAATTTAACATCTAATATAACAAAATATATCGTTTGACAAAAAAAAAAAAGATATTGATATTTTAAAGTGAAAGAGTTAGCTGAAGAGTGGATTGGAGTGCCCCCATTTTAAAGTAGCACAAAAGTGTCAAATGAGTTAGCAAAGGACACGTTTTAAAAAAAAAAAGTTTTGGTAACTTTTTTGAAGATGCTCTAACCTCTAATCAATGTGATATTCATTCTCAACATGCTCCCTCCTATGTGACAAATTTTCAAGCATAACATGTGGACAACATAAACGGAGTGTCATAGAGCACACGTGTCTATTGGGCTTCACACGTGAGGCAACTTGCTCTGAAGAAGTTGAGATTCCACCATAAAACCAATTGGCAATATGAAGAGTAACTCAACTTATATAAGTCTGTGCAAAATTTCTTCCTCATCAATATGAAATAAATTCTCAACAAAAACACATTTTAATAGGGAAACGTTTAAGAAACACATATCAGGTAATTCTTCAAAAAATACTTTCAATTGCCTCTCTAAAAATCACTTGAATTCTAAATTTCTAATAAAAGAAATTCATGCGTTTATAATAAAGGAGTGTTTCATACGCATGCAATTCCAACTATCCCCACATTTTTTTAATGCAATTTACAACAATAATTATTATTGATCATCTTAAAAAGTAGGGAAGTACCCCAAAACGAGACAATTTCTTAATCTTGTGATAGAAATAGGACATTTCAAATATGCACACAACATATGCACACGCCATTCACAAAAATCAGACAGAAATAGGATTTTTCCTACACCTTGAAATGATCAAATTGTCCTCCCATATAAATGAGTTATCCAAAAATTTGATACTTCATTTCTCATTTTGTAGAGAGAGAAACAGAGATGAGAGAGTTCTCTCGCCCAATTCCAATTCAAAGAACCCTAACTCACCCATCTTCTTCATCCAAGCTTTCTCTCTCTCTCTCTCTCTCTCTCTCCTTCCCTCTCTCTCTCTCTCTCCTCGCTCTACATTTCGAATATGCACAAGAGCTCTCTCTAACCCCCCATCTTCTTTGATTTTTACCTTTTCATTTGTGGTTTTGTGAACTGGGTTTGCTTAATTTTGCTTTTTGATTGATGGATTTTTGGAGTTGAAGTGATTGGTTTGGTGTTTCTTGGAGGAGACCTAAATACTTCAATTTTGATATTTTATTTTTTTATCTTTTCTCTGATTTATATGTGGGTTTTCATTTCTTCTGTATTCTCCCTCCCTCCGCTTCCTCTCGATCCAAATTTACAAGCACTAAAATAGGGTTTGGCTTTTGCTGCAATTAAATGAAAAAACATATTAAAGGTCAGTTGCCTTTTGGAGGAGAGATAAATTTGAGGGAAAAGAGAGAAATTAGAGTGGAAAAAAGGAATAGCGAAGGACATGGACGAAATTATTTCACGTACTCGTTCGCTCTCTTCGTATTAAGCTTGCTTATAAACTGTATGTATATGACATGTACACGACTTGCACATGACATGCATATGTTTGCTCATAGATATGAGCTAAACAAAAAAAATTTGTGAAATTGTGAAATTTTTTCCGTAATATGCATGTGTTTTGCATATGATGTGCATGGTTACATCTTAATATGAGAAGCAGGAATGTTCACTAGTTATGATGTATGTATGTTGTGCCCTGAAATTTAGCAAGCATGACCACAACCTAGTTGGCCTCGGCCAAAAAATAAATTAAGAAAAAGCTTAGAGAACGTTAAGGATCATGCGTGTCCATGAAATAATGACAACGAGTATCATATTTTCCATGTGCACCGTTAAGTGGTGATGTACGTAACAAGACTTTTCAAACTACTATTGTAACCTTATATACGTAACAATTGTGTTTTAATTGTATCCATTATACCAATAGGTTGTCGTTAAAGTTTCTCATTAATACGAAAAACAGCTCATTGCTTTACAGTTTTGTGCATATCATGTGCATGTATTGTACATATCATGTGAAAGTAGTGCGCATATAGTGTATATGGTGGTGACATCACCGGTGTTGATGTTATTTTTCTGATTTTGAAAAGAGAGCTATGAGATCTGGATTTTTGGCTTGGCTTAGATCTGTGAGCATATTATGTGAATGTCGAGTACAAAGAATGAGTAAATCCTAAAAAATTCATCCAACAAAACACCAACATTTAATGATTGGGCTTTGTTCCCACCATCGATGCGAGTCCAGTGGTGGTGATCTCGAGCCTCGGTTGTTTGCAGTTTTGTCGAAAAATGGCCGCAAAACTCTCGACCTAGTTGAGTTTTGATCCCAAAGATCGAGGATGAGATTCGTGACAAGGCTAGGTGTTTTGAACTCACAAGGACGAGATGAAATTGATGGTGGCTTTGATTTGGATGGTGTTGGTCGAGCTGACAATACACCATGTCTGCACAGTAAGAAGGGGAGAAATATTGCGTGAGGGAGAAAGTGAAAGAAGAGAGAGACAAGGAAAGAGAGAGGAGAGAAAAATCAGAAAATGAGATAAAATAATTCATTTATATATAGATATTTTAATAATTTCAATTTTATGTATGACTGATTTATTTTTTTTTATTTCAATATTAAGAAATTATCTCATTTGGAGATATTTCCTTAAAAGTATCCTCCAACACTTTGTATTCACGTAAAAGAAATTCTGGATAGCAGGAAATAGCGAGTTCCAGCATTTTCTCCACGTTTCAATAATTTCAAACAGTGTGACACGTTTCACTAGAGGAAATGTGGCGGCCAAGGTGAATGACATGTGTCAAATGCTCCCATTTGTTCATGACTCGTGGTTTCTTAGATTTCCAGTTTCTACCAGAAGAATGAATAGTTGAGAAAAAGGACCTAGCATTAGCAAAGCAAAGGATTTTTGTAGAAAACAATGAAGCAGCACCAGGGAAGGCTAGTGTTTGGATAGTGGTCAAGAGCCGGAGGCATTACTAGCACTACTGCACAAGGTTGGCCAAACACGGCGGAGCTGCTGCCGTTGCGTTTTATGACAGCCAAAGCGCCCAACCGCGCCGCCGTTCATGGACATAGGCTGCCCATCCCTCGTGTTGTTGATGTACGTTATGCTACGTTTCTTGTTCCTAATCTAACGGGCAACCGTTCTTTAATGCACATGATTGTTCTTTAGTAATGAGCCGACTTCCTGCACATAATTTCTCTTTCATTGTTTGTTTTCTTGACCGCTTGAGGGCTTGCTATATGTACCTTGCCCTTGGCAAATTTAGCCCTGATTTAATTTAGATTCTTTTTGGCCCTTGGTTGGAGATAAATTTTGCACAAATTCGGGCTAAATATGGCCTACAGTCCTAAGTTGGAGATGACCTTATAAGTCCTTGAGGTTAACTTTTAATGTGGACAAGCCTTCATATTTTCACACTTATTATTGTGTCGGTAAATTTTAAGGTTAATACGTCAACAATTGAGTGACGTGAAGTTCGTAGTTGGCCTTCACATATAGGTTAGTCAACTCTTAGAGAAAGTTGAGAAAGTTGGAGTTTTCATCTGAAAAATTGAAGTTTAGAAAGTTTGAGTTTTCATCTCAAAAACAGGTGAAGTTTGGAAAGTTGGAAGTTCCATCCCAAAATCAATTAGCAGTGCGACAATACGTAGCTCAACTCCTTATAATCACATCCAAGATTCTTTTGACTCTCAAATCTTTCAACAATCCTTCATATCCTCATATGTTTACAGATATTTTATAGCATGAGCCATGACATGAAGGTTTTGATGGTCATAACAGCATATGTATGCACCTCTATCATAGCTGAGAAGGTGAAAAGCTTTAAATGTTTTGAGAATCCCCAGTCTTTGATGTTTGATGTCTGATGGGGGTCTCTGTTTGTGATTGTGTAGGAGGAAGAAGTAGAGAAGGTGATAGAGAAAGGGAAAGAGGAGAAAGAAGAAAAGAGGCAGGAGGTGGAGAAGGCCGTCGACTCCAAAATCAACCGCAGCCGCTCCGAAGGTGACACCTGCCCTCCTGAGACTACTGCTTCTAGTTAGTTAATCTTCCATCACAATCATAAACCATTTGTGTTTTTTGTTGTAATTTACTCGTGCTTTTATTTGTGTGTTTGCACAATTTATGATCCAACATAATGCGCCAAAGAAAAGAGCTTGCTGTCTATGATTATGTTTGGCAACTCGGATTGGATTAAGACGTATGATAAGGAATTGGATAGGATTAGGAATTTAGGAGGTAGGATTAGAATGCATTGGATGATGATCACTTGGATTGGAGAGGCTAGCGTTAACCTAGCCTTTCCAATCCAATTGTATTTCGTGCTCACAATCTGAGTGTTGAAAAATTGGGGCCATTCACTATTTGGTAAAACTAATTTACTTTCAGTATAATGGTGCTGAGAATTGAGAGAGAAGCCCCCAGAAACTCTAATACAGTACTTCTTTCAGTATTATATATAACAATCATTGTCGACGAGTAAGTATTAGCTCTATGTGAGAACAGCAGTAGCCAAATTTGATGACTCGACGGATGAACACAGCAACTGCTGTTTGGTGGAAGCCGATATGACCAAAGACATCATCTCAAAACTTGAGAATCTTGAGGGAGAACAGCTGCAGTACAGTATGTACTGTTTCCTTTCTTAGCATTAAGCTGCTTCTCCTACCTCAACAAGCCTCCCGCGAATCCACCTTTTAGTAGCGCCGGTCACTGGTTTGCAAGGTGTTTCCTCTTCTCTGGATTGAACTTTCGTCCCATTGAGTTGAAGGTTCTTGCTGCGCTCACCGTCCCCATTTGGTTCTAACTGGTTGGGTTCATTTCTCAAATCCGATTGCTTTATTAGCTCCTCAAAACCAAACGGAGGCAAACCATAGCCACTGGTGCTCGGTCGGGAAAGGTCCTCTTCACTATTTAGCATATCCTCCAACGGGGCAGGGTCCTCGAGAACGTTAAGCATGTCCTGCAATGGGGAAAGGTCCTCTTCGGCATCTACCATATACTCCGATGTGAAGTTGCCGAAGCTGGAGTCCTCGTTTGTACTCGATAAGGTTTTCGTGCCATTTGTCTTTACATTACCCGCTTCAATCTGACCTGCAACCGTGGTGCATGGTTCTTCCTCACCCTTAGTAATCATTTCATATGATGCAAATATGGGGTCTTCATTCTCATGGGGGGACAAAGCTCGGATGCCATTTGCCCTTCCACTGTCTACTTCTGTCAGTTCCTCAACCCCAGTATGTGCCTCCTTTTCGTCCTGAGTAATCGCTTCATTTGATGCAACTGAAGGGTCTTCATTCTCGAACGAAGAAATCTTTGCCGTCTCAACAGATTCAAGGAACTGAATTGCCTCAGCTATAAGCTGTCGGGTTTCAACGAGGGAAGCTCGAGCAACAGCGCTCTTTGTTGCAGCAACCTCAATGGCCATAGCTGCCTTCTCAGCTTCCGCAATCAATAACCTGCAAAGTACCACCACAACTGATGAAACCGCCACCAAACAAGGGGAGATATGATTTTGCAGGCTAGTGAATTCCATGCAAGGAGTGCATAGAGTTTTCAAACCAATCAGTACACAAAATAAGCTTACCTAGCTCTTTCTATGGCTTCAGTTTTTTCGGTTTCAGCAGCTGCTCTTTGTGCTCTGATATTCTTTATCATCTCCATCTTAGAACTCGCGAGAGGATCCTTGTACATGGGTGCGTTACCTCTCAACCTCAGTCGTTGCTTTTGGATTTTAATCTCGCCACTAGAGATACTGTTTTTCTCACTAACCTTTTTCTTTGCAGGTACCCTTCTCGCGGACTCTGTACTACCACTTGGCTTCTTCGTTGGCTTTCTTTCGGGTCCATATGATGCATCATAATATTTAGCCAAGGCAGAGCAAACACGGCTGCGATAATTCTGATGCACAAATTACATGAGGAAAATACAGCTTAAAGAAAACAAGGCTCAGGTTCATACTACTCTTACTAAACATGTAATAACATAGGTCATTTAGGCACTTATGTACACCATTGAACACAATTTATATAGCGATGAAAACTCTATCGGAACCAAAGCCGATGATTTGATTAATAACGATAAGACCTCTCCAAGATTACCATATTTGCACTTACAGGGTCGTTCCATTTTGCAGAGATTGCTTGTGAAATCTTCCTTCTTTGCTCAAGAGACTTGGGTGCTCTCTTGCTTCCTTTTGGCCTACGCATAATTTTCCTTTGCTCAACCCTCTCTATATACTCCTCTGTAAGCTTTTCATCTAAGATCTTGTAGATATCCCATTGCAGTTCCTCTTCACCGTCGTATCCTTGTCTAGAGGCTTCAGCAATTAAGTTCTGCCAGTCATAGCAGCAATGTTCCTGCAATGAAAGCTTCTCACGCCGTTTTTGCCACCCGATTCGCACTCCAAGCCCGATTTTAACTCTCGTCTCTTCACTACATGGTCAATGAAAAGAAAATATGTAACTGAAACTTATAATCTCAGGCTTCTGGTTTAGTATGTAGAACGCTGGAAACCAAGTAGAAAAAAGGCTATCCGGAAACGGTACTTAAAGTCCTTATAAACAGAACAATGCAATACCCACCTTTGAGCATGTCCAAGGTTCACCAACTTCATTTTGACCTGCATAGCCAAATATTGTTACCTCCATCTCATAAAAACACATAACCTGTGCATCCTCATAAACCAAACATTGTTGGCAATACGCCAATAACATATCCTTTCGATTGGATACAAATTTACGAGTATATGCTTTAAATTAGGTACCCGGTCAAGCATTAGCAAGGTGATCCTTCAGTTAACAAGACAATTAGTTTGGACACAGACCAGCTAACCTGCCCATTTGAAAGCAGAAGAGCTGCAAGATATTTATGTACTTGGGGAAGAGTTATCAGATTCAACTACTTAGCACTATTATTTCCATTACAACGAAAAACTAAGATCAGCGGTAAATAGAGCCGAATTAGGAAGAAGCTCAAGAGATGCATCTTCGTCATTTCATAATGAACTGACTGAAGATAATGCCGAAGTTTCGAATGTAGCTCTAGCTGCTCTAATGTAAATGTTATTCTACAGGCATTAAGATCATTCTATGAGAACATGCAAATTCTTCTTACATGACATCACCTTAGGATTCTGCATTGCAAACCTTGTTCTCTCTTTGATCAGCTGAAGGGTTTCTGCAATATTTGTACTAATATTTAGTGTACGGTAAGCAAAATGGATACAGATAGGTAAAGCAAAAGGCAGACTGGATAGGCATATCAGTACCAGGACTGTGCTTTCGGCCTTTGTTCCATGGCGTGCTCCCTTTATTAGCATTAGAAATCCTCAATCGCCTTAACTTCTCCCTATCATCCAGTTCTTCGGAATCATCACTGGAAGGCTCGAGCTGACCTGCGCAGCGACTGGACTCCCTGCCCAGCTCTGAACCGTCGTAACCCATGTTTGCATTCTCATTCTGAACCAAACTTCTGGATTCAAGAGTAGCAACTGCCATGATCCGGAGACTACCCTTTGGGACGTTAATGCGCCCCAAGTTGAAGTTCAATTTTATCGATATATGAGAGAGTTTCCAAGCAGATGACAGTTTCTTGTCATTTCCAAAGGCGAATGGACTTGAAATTACATTACCATAAACAGGGGTTTGAGCCCTGAGTGTACGGAGATGATTTTGGAAGGCAGGCTGTGCAGCAGCAATCTCTGCTGAAAAGTACAGGCATATATGAGATATCCTCAAAGCTTCAACAACAATTATCAGCAAGAGGATCATTCCTTCAACAATTCGACATTTTTTATACACACACATAAGTCCGAATTCTTTAACGAAAACCTTGTTTGGTGTCCAGGATTGGATGATAGACATATGTTGAAGGAAGAAAAGATGTCAAGTTCCAAACTTTTTCTAAGTTGAAGGTAAAAGATGGATTGGATTAGTCATGGAGGAAACTTGTCCCTCCTTATCCAACCATTCATCTGGGCATTGGAAGGGATTAGATTCCTTCATTACTACTCCATCTTCTACCATTTCTGACAGAAAATAAAGTATCTTCTACCTTCTGCTTGGACAAAATTTGAAATTGTCATCCATTTCTTCATTCGACATACACTCAAACCAGTGAGCAATCAAATCAAATCCAATCACTGACACCAAACGAGGCCAAAGGGTTGTTGGGCAACTCATGAAACTAAAGTCCACATATTACCAAGTCTATGCATGAAGTTCAGTCCCTTGACAATTGAACACCCAACACACACACATATTGAAAAAGTTGTATGGAGGTCCTTGAACTTAAAACAATGGGTTTTCTAAAACTACTTAAAACATACTAAAAAAAAAGAAAAAAACAAAAAACACAAAAAGAAAAAAGAGATTAAATTTGATTACCAAGTGAAGGCATGGAAGCTCATCCAGCCAATTTCAAACTCAGCAGCAACAGTTCAGCAGAGACAGACAGCACAGCCAGCATTTGAGGAAGAACTTACCGAACCAGAAAAGCAGAAATCCCGAAAATCATAAAATCAGAAGCAGAAAAGTGAGGTGGGGTTTTGGGAAGGAGAAACACAGACTCTGCCACTGCGAGAGCCACACAGAGACGCACGCAAAGATACCACGCTCTGATAACGGTGGCAGCAGAGATGGATAACGATGGGGTTTCAAACTTAAATGCAGCCCACTTTGATATTTTTTGATGTGGAGATTTCCCTGAGGCCTTTAGGCTTCTGGGTTCTCATATTTTTACGTGGGCTTTGTAATTTTATACGAAAGCGGGCTTTTGTGTTTATTGACAATGTTAGAGGACTTGTTGATTTCTCCCGAACTTGCGAGGAGTTGCAAATTTCCTTCTTAAATCTTAATTTTAGTCATTTATCTCTTTGAATTTTTACAATTAGTCAATTTTTCTGATGACTTTAAATTTTAGAATTTTCCACCCAATTTTCTATTCATTTTGGTCACATGACAAACGTTTGAGGGCATTAAATTATTATTACTAATGTGGATAGTAGGTTGCTTTTTCTTCTTCCTCTTCTGCTAGTTTACTCCGTACATTTTCTGTTTGAATTAGCTATGAGAGTCCAATTAGCAGCTGCAAAGTATTGACTTTACGCCCAATTTACCAAAAATAAAAATATCTTTTTGTCCTCATACAATTGCCATGGATGGA